CACTGAAAAAGAATCCTAGACCCAAAAAGAACCTAAAGGAATGTAAAGCTAGCACTCTACATTTATAGCAACTGAGGGTCTGAGGAAAAAAAGCATCATTCAGGTTGCTTCATTGATGGCTGAGAAAAACATCTCCAAAAATAAGAGCAACTAAGATGTCTGGGATATATCCACAACTCAAAGCTGACATTAATCAGAAAAGTGTCCTTTTGTATGTTCACACACTGGATCACCATGAATTAGATGCATATGACCCATTAGAGAATGTTTTAAGTTTTTGTGATAGCTCGATCTAAAGCTGAAAAGTCAGATGATGCATGTACCTAGTAATGTGTTTGATCAATTCCATTGTTCCTATCCCAACTCACTGGGTACACAATAACTTGAAGATTCATTCATGCAGTGAATGGTAAAGATCCACTACACATAAGGAATTATACTGGGAAACAAAAAACTACTCTAGGAGTAGCTATGAAACATGTATACAGAAAGAGAGAGACCTGTACACGCTGACAGGTTTTTATACACAATGCAAGGCAAATATTGCCAACATGCATTTCACATAATGCACTGTGAGAGTTAGAAGAAATATTTCTTTCAACTGAAACAATCAGAAGGCAATATGCAAGGTAGTCCTTGAAGGATTGGTGGGATTTACAGGTGGAAGAAGATTTTAAACAGGCAAAGCAGGAGCAAAAGACATAAATAAACTGAAAGCAGGCCACTCCAGATGAGAAGTCCATTGTTAATTAAATTTAGAGCAACTATTTCCAATATGAAAATACTCAAATCTGAGCTGCACCTGAAGTTACTATATTTTGCTGTGTATAATGCGCACTTTTTTTTTGCCCAAATTTCTGAGGGAAAAATAAGGATGCGTATTATACATGGGTATAATGATTACATACCATGTATCATAATCCCATGTATAATGCACACAAAAAACATGGGTGTGTGCATTATACATGGCAAAATACATATTGTATCATTTCAGTTCAGTAATGTGAGAATTTTGCATCTGTATTTATCACTTTAAATCACACACACACACACACACACACACACACACACAAAGTTTCATAATATAAACAACAACCTACGTCAGACTATTACATTTGTTTTCCAAAAGGAATGAAATAGGATTTCAAAGGTCTTTGAAAACTTGCTGCCCAGGAAACAGAAAAAGAGTTGGAAAATCACTTAAGCTGCATTAAACAAAAATGGCAAAAGTGCACATTGTAAGAAAAGGATTATCAAGCAAAGTGTTTTCAATTCAGCATCAAAGAAAGTCCTACCGATATCACAGTATAAAGTAAGTTGTGGTACAATTTCAAATCTATTTTATTGTTTTTCTTGAATAATATCCTGCATGGCTACTTCTACTTATTAAATTTCTGCCCTTCTGGAAAAGCATTATTTTAGGATGTTAACTCACATTAAACTGACAAGTAATAATGTAATTCAAAGGCTTTTTGAAATCTTGTTAAAAGTTCATTGTATTTTCAGTAAATCATAAAACTATTTTAACACTCTCCTCCCCAACTTAAGGACAGAGTATCAAAGAAGCAATTATCAAAGCTAACCAGTGTGCACTATTCTAAATATGCTGGATTTCTCCACTTTCCTTCTGAAAATTCATTTTTCATTGTAAGATTTGGTACTCTATATGAAGTTTTCTCTGTGTAGTCTAACAGAATACTGTGGAATTCTTTAAACTATCCCTGGCACAAGCTCAATGCAATGAAGGTCAAGCAAATCCACAAGGTGGGAATAGAGGAAAAGAGTGAAACTAAGGCACAGCATGAAAACAACCTTGAAGGTATTTTTACTTGCAAAACTACACAAGACAGGGGAATCGCAAAGTTTCATTGTTCACTAATACTTTTCCTTCATTGTTTTAAATTCCACATAGTTCACAGTTCTCTTGATCCGACCTGTACTTCCACATATTCAGGCCTTTGTGTGGGAGGCCCTTCTGTGTTACCAACTCACCACTATGAAATTCTTATCCTTCAAGGCTCAGCTTAAGAGAAGCTCCCACTTTGCATTAAGGCAAGTTTACATTGTAAACTCTTTATTTAGCCTGAGTTTTACAAACTTGTATTATCTTTCCCATCATAGCACCTGTCACAATGAAGTGTCACAATAGCACTTCTTATGCATAGAAGGCCCTCAAGATTTTTTAATGGGTTTAGCACATTTACTACAAAATATAACCAAATGATGTTAGAAATATTAAAAGCTCCATTAGTGATAAAGATATGTAGAAAAACAAGCCAAGCAGACATCCAGAATAACTCGGAAACACTTTTACCAGATTCCACACCTTGTAAGAGCATAGCTGGGCCTGTGTCATGGAAGCCCTGGCTCCTGGCTGCCTCACGGACCTACCCCCACTTCAGTGGTGTCCTCAGCTTTCCTGAGGAAGAAGGCCTGCAACACCCACAGCTCCCTAAAAGCAGCCCTAGACTCAGTTGCCTCTCCAGGGCCACTTGCCTTCACTTCCCAAGAAGAGTAAGCACCACAGGGCTTAGCAACAGCAAATGTGTCCCATTAGAACCTCTTTACATCTCCCTGCAAGAGCAAGTTCCACTATGGGAGGGTCCAAGGTCCACCTCTCCCTCTAATTCTCATAGAAACAGCAGAGATAGCTGCTCTTAGTGTGCTTCTCCTTTTACCTTCCTTTATGACTAAATTATGCATAAAACCATTTTGAAAGCAGAGGTTTGGCATCACTGGGGAAAACAGCCTCAGGCTTACCTATGTGTCTGATGAGGTTGAATCCAGATGGCCTGTTGCAATTCTTCACATTTTTTCCCTATAAGCTCAAGTGAGAAATGGACCTAGTCAAATTAACAAAAGTACTTTTTGAGAAATGCTAGTTCTAACACTGCTGTAAGGTGCCCTGGTGTGGCTAAATGGATTGAACTCCAGCCTGCAAACCCAAAGGGCATAGGTTCTATCCCCACAGCTGGGACACATGCCTGGGTTTCAAGCCAGGTCACCAGTTGGAGGTGGGCAAGGGGCAACAGATGGATGTATCTCTCACAAGTTGCTATTTCTTTCCCTTACTTTCCCCTTCCCTTCCCCTCTCTCTAAAAGTAAACAAAATCTTTAAAATTGCTGTAAGAAGACCTAACAACTTCTTTCTTAAAAACTATACACATTCCCAACATGTACTTTGCTTTTTGCCTGTTCTGCATAAAGCATTGATTGATATGTAGTTATTTATGGACACATGCACACATATACACATATGGATGATTATTTGACCTACTTTAAGAAAATGTAGTATACAAATGTGTGTTCTAAAATAAAAACTTTAAATGAAAACATTCCTATTTTTAAAACCCTACAATGACTTGTTTTGGGAGGAAAAAAAATCAAATCCACTTACCAATAAATGTACGATTCTCTGACTATATATATTCAAACAACTACAACTTCTTAAAATTACAGGATTTGGGAACTAGAAAGTATCTAGAGATATATTTACATAAAACAAGAAGACAGTGTCGTGACAAGCAGCCACTCTAAAGATGAAAAGCCAGAAAACCATGGCCTGTGGTTTGACTGAATCCAAGGGCTAAGCAGTGGCTATTGAAATGGTAAGTGATTCTGGGGTGCAGAATCCTATCTATGTGGCAGGGGTCCAAACCCAAAGGATACTATGAAACCAACGTAAATGTTCCAGTTAAAGTAATCAAGAGGTCTGAGGTTTATATTTAAAAGCACAAGTACTAACACAGTGAGTACATTATCTCAAGTGTTCTAAAAATTGTGTCAGTAGAGTTAGCACTACACAGGAAAATGCACTTGCAGACCTGGACTCTCAGATTACGTAAATCACACACTAGGTAGAAAATAAACATATAAATGGATGTATACATAGATTCAAGACTGTAAGAATTTCCCAAAATACTGGAACAACAAAGACAAATATATAATCTAACTACTCCCATTATTTCCAGACTTCAGGAAAGACTGCAACCCTTCTCGCAAAATATACTTTGCGTCTCTGGAGTTACTGTTGGTGTCAGTTTTCTTTGTGGTTGTTTTCTAATGAGTTGGTTGGCGGACTGCAAGTTTATTAAGATCCTATTCTAATTACTTTCTGTACTTGCGACCCTGGAAGAATCTTGCAGGGCCTGACTAGTTACCAGAGTCAGGAGGGTGGGGAGGGGGCAAAGAGGGGGAAGAGAAGAGCAGAGATCACGGGTTTCCCGTCTCCCTTTCTGGCCCTCCGACACTGCGTTTGGTAACTAGACACGTCATCTAAACCCTTCGCAGCATTCGGGAATCCCTCTTCTGGTCTCAGACCGGGCAACGACCCTCCCCACCCCCACTCCAAACCCAGGGTGCTAAAACTGGAGAGGATGGAGGGCCCCCTGGGAGCATCCAGTCCCTGGGGTCGGGGACGGCCCCTTTTGGGGGCTTAGCTGCTGGGCACCACGGTCAGCAGCCCAGGGGGCGCTCTTGGCCTCGGTGACCCATCAGTGTGGGGACACCTCACCCCACTACTCTTCGGACGTTCGGCAGCCGAGAGGGTGTGAGGAAGGGCACAGTCTAACCCCGAGGAGCCCTAGGCGGTCACGCGCAGACATCAAGGGTACGTGGGCGTGAAACTCCCTGGCTCCCCACATCAGTCTCCCTCCTGTGCCCGCCAACTGGCACCCGGGAGGGCAGCTATGGGCCGGTTGGGGCCCAGGTGCTGTCACCGCCTGCCAGGCCCGCCTGGCTGCATGTGCCAGGCGCCCGTCCCGGGGTCCTGGGATCGGAAGGGCAGCTGGCTGCCCCTAAATGCCCCAGGGACCAGCCTGGCCGCCAGAGGCACCACGTCCCCGGCGGTTGGCCGTGGGCACCCCGAACGCGGGCCCTAGCGTGTCCCCGGAGCATGCGCCCAGCTGCTGCCCCCGTGGGCCGTGGCCCCGCGCGAGTTGCACTAACTTTCCGGGGCGGGGGAGGGGCGAGTCCCGGAGGCCCGGCCGTCCCGGCCCTACCTGTGCTCCAATTGTCATTGATTTTCAAGGGCACACGCAGGATGTAGACCAGGAAAAGCACAATGAAGAACCACACGGTCCAGAGACAAGTCCAAGACGAAACTATGTAGGATTTGAGCTGCTCCAGAAAGCCCGTGCCCGCTTCAGCCATTTTTCCGCGCTGCTCTCTGCTGCCGCGCGCTGCCCGGATGATTCACTCGCCCCGGGCGCTGGCGGCGCCGCTCACGCCGCCGCAGCCCCAGCGTGTCAGGAGCCCGCCCGCCGCCCAGGTCGAAGGCGCGGCGGGAAGTCGCCTGCGGCTACAAGCGTGCTTGCCTTCCCTTTTCCAGCCTTATTGCTAATTTTCAGAATCCTGTACAAGTGGCTTTCCTGGAGGGGTCATGTGGCCCCTGCCCCCTCACAGTCTGATGACACTTATTTTTAATATACAATTTAGATAGTTCAAGGGGGCACTGAGGGAAATTAAAGATAATAACAAATGTTGAGGACTTCCCATATGTGAAGCACAGTTCTGTATAATCTCATTTAATCCTTCAATAACCCCCACTATATAGATAGGGAAACTGAGGCACAACGCGATTCAGGGCAGAATTCAGTTGCAGTATGACGGATGCCAGGGTTGAGGTCCTAAGCCCTTCACTCTATTTCTTTCTCTCAGACTTCAGGCTCAGGGGGATGAACAAACCAGGGCAACTAGAAAAGAATATATGTGCTCCTGTCACAGGCTGGTAGGCCTGAAGAGAAATCTAAACCAAGATTTCAGTTACACATGCGGTTTACCTTTGCTTTGGCTCCCTTGAATCACCACGAGGTTTCCCACAAAAAAAAATGTCTTCAAAAAATGTTTATTTATCCCCCAATTTGGAGGACATTCACAGTTGAAACAGCTCTTAGCCTGTTTGTAATATAAACAATTCTCTGGGATAATTTTGGCTTATTCTGAACTGGCTACTTTAAACAAGAAATAGCCCATAAACAATTTTTTGTCAGTGATAAATAAAATGTTGCTTTTACCAAATTAAAGTCTGTTTCCGTCTATAAATAATTTTACTTTCTATGTGTTAGATGATAATGAAGCAATTGCAGGTTATCCAATCTACAGCCAAGACTTTTAGAATTCTGAGTATTCGGCAGAATATTATATTTTATTAATTTATTTAGCTTACTTTTAGTTTCCTTTGGAATAAAACAAGCTCCTTTAACTTTGCATGTAGAACTTACTCATGACGTATGTAATAGAACTACTCTCATATTTTCACTAATTCCAACCCCACTGCTCTTGGTTTCTCTTTTTTCCTTTTTTTTCCCCCCTTTTTTTAAAGCAAGTAATGTGAGAAATCGAGAAGTTCAGGCCAAGATGTAGGCATAGGTAGAAACACTTCACTTCCTTGCACAACCAAAATACCAAAATAAAGATAACAACTAATTTAAAAACAAAAAACAACCTTGGTGTGTTCCTTCTTGGGTCCAACTTCTTTGGGACTCTCCGAGCTTCCTGGATTTCCTGGAAGTCTATTTCCTTTGCCAGATTGTGGAAGTAGTCCCAAAGAAGTTGGACCAAAGAAGGAACACACCAAGGCACATCATCATTATATTAGATAAGATTAAAATGAAGGAGAGAATCCTAGAAGCAGCAAAAGAAAAGGGGACAGTCACCTACAAAGGAGTTCCCATCAGACTATCAGCAAATTTCTCAAAAGAAATCTTACAGGCAAGAAGGGGCTGGAAAGAAGTATTCCAAGTCATGAAATCCAAAGACCTACATCCAAGATTGCTCTATCCAGCAAAGCTTTCACTTAGAATGGAAGGGCAGATAAAGTGCTTCTCAGATAAGATCAAATTCAAGGAGTTCATCATCACCGAGCTCTTATTATATGAAATGTTAAAAGGACTTATCTATGAAAAAGAAGATAAAAAAGATGAACAGTGAAAGGACAGCAAACTCACAGTCATCAAGATCCACACCTAAAACAAAAACAAACTAAGAGAACAGCTAGATCAGGAGCAGAACCATAGAAATGAAGATTACATGGAGGATTAGCAACAGGGGAGTAGGAGAAGGAGAAGAGGGTAGAAGGTACAGAAAATAAGTAGCATAGACAGTAGGTAGAAAATAGATAGGGGAGGCAAGAATAGTATGGGAAATATAGAATCTAAAGAACTTGAGACACGTGGTCATAAACTAAAGGGGAAGAATGGTGGGGGAGGGGTGTGCAGGGTGGAGGGGAATGAAGGGAGGAATAGAACTGTAATGGCATAATCAATAAAATATATTTATTTTTTATTTTTTTAACAAATTTATTTTATTTTATTTATTTATCTTTAGAGGGGAAGGAGAGAAAGAGAGAAACATCAATGTATGGTTGCCTTTCATGCATCCCCTGCTGGGAACTGGCCTGCAGAGAACCAGCCTGCAACCCAGGCATGTGCCCTGACTGGGAATTGAACTGCGATTCTCTGGTTCGCAGACCTGTGCTTAATCCGCTGAGCTACACCAGCCAGGGCCCCAATAAAATATATTTAAAACAAAAACAAAAAACAAAAAAACAACCAAACTGGAAGAAAATCAAACTGCATGGAAGTCTGACAACCGATTTAAAAACTCATCCAGTTTGGTAGGAGGGGCAGAGACCAGCAGCTGGGGCACAGAGGACACCCGGCAGGGCAGCGGACTAGGAGGGCAAAGTGGTAGCTGGTGGACAGGGCCAGTGTCACATTTGTGTGCAGATCAACAGGGAGGAACAACTGGGAAGCAAGACAGACGGCACAAAAGGGTTTCAGCCTGGGAAACTAAAGACTCAAAACCTCTGGCTATAAAAACCTATGGAGGTTGCAATGGTAGGAGAAATTCTCAGTTTCACAGGAGAGTCTGTTGGAGAGACCCATGGGGTCCTGGAATGTACACAAACCCACTCTCATGGGAGTCAGCAGCTGAAAGGCCACAATCTGCTTGTGGGAAATGAGGCAAGCAATGGGGGGAGAGCCAACCAAGCGAACAAGTGGCCCAGTTCCCTCTCTGACCCCTCACCCACAGACTGTGCCACAAGCAAACAAGGGGGTTGCCCTGCCTTGGAGAATACCTAACGCCCCACCCCTTACAGCATAACAGGTGCTTCCAGACAGAGAAATATGCCCCAAATGAAACTACGTATCTAAACTACACAAAATGAACTAAACAACCAGGAGATAGACAACCTGTCAGATGCAGAGTTCAAAACACTGGTAATCAGGATGCTCACAGAAATGATTGTGGTGTTTGGCCATTTTGTGGTGTTCAGCCACAAAATGAAGGAAGAAATGAAGGCTATACAAAATGAAATAAAAGAAAATGTAGAGGGAACCAGCAGTGAAGGGAAGGAAAACAGGACTCAAATCAACAATTTGGAACAAAAAGAAGAAATAAACACCCAACCAGAACAGAATGAAGAAACAAAAGACAAAAAAAAAAAAAAATGAGGAGTGGCTGAGGACAATTTTAAATGTCCCAGACAACTTTATATGTCCCAACATCTAAATCATAGTGGTTCCAGAAGGAGAAAAGGAAGGGGAAGAAGTTGAAAACTTACTTGAGAAAATAATGAAGGACAACTTCCCCAAACTGGCAAAGGAAATAGACTTCCAGGAAGTCCAAGAAGCTCAGACAGCCTCAAAGAAATTGGATCCAAGAAGAAACATGCCAAGATACATCATAATTAAGTTGCCCAAGACTAAAGATAAGGAGAGAATCTTAAAAGCAGCAAGAGAAAAGGAGACAGTTACGTATAAAGGAGTGCCCATAAGACTATCAGCTGATTTCTCAAAAGAAATCTTACAGGCAAGAAGGGGCTGGAAAGATGGATTCACAGTCATGAAAGGCAAGGACCTACATCCAAGATTACTCTATCCAACAAAGCTATCATTTAGAATGGAAGGGCAGATAAAGTGCTCCCCAGATAAGGTCAAGTTAAAGGAGCTCACCATCACCAAGCCCTTATTATAGGAAATGTTAAAGGGACTTATATAAGAAAAAGAAGATCTAGATTATGAACAGTAAAATGACAACTCACAACTACCAACAACTGAACCTAAAAAACAAAAACTAAGCAAATAACTAGAACAGGAACAGAATTACAGAAATAGAGATCATATGGAAAGTTATCAGTGAGGAGGAAGAGAATGGGGGGAAAAGGTACAAGGAATAAGAAGCATACATGGTAGGCACAAAATAGACAGGGGGAGATCAAAAACAGTATAGGAAATGAAGAAACCAAAGAACTTAGATGTACAACCCATGGACATGAACTAAGGTGGCAGTGGGGGATAAAGGGGAGAAAAACATTGGGAGAACTGTAATAGCATAATCAATAAAATATACTTTAAAAATAAAATAAAGCAAGTAATACTCTCTTTTTTGCATATAATATTCTTTTTTAAAAGGTTTATCTTATTCTCATTCAAGACAGAGAGAGAAACATTGATGTGAAAGAAACACAGCAACTGGTTGCCTCTTACACACACCCCAACAGGGAAATGAAGCTCACAACTAGGGCATGTGCCCAAACAGGGAATTGAACCAGTGACCTTTCAGTTACCTGACAACTCTCCAACCAACTCAGCCACATCAGCCAGGGCTCTTTTTTTTTTTTAACTGAATTCATTGGGGTGACATTGGTTCATCAAACCATACAGGTTTCAAGTATACAACTCAACAAAATATCATCTGTACACTGCATCTTGTGTCCATCCCCCAAAGCAAAAGCAACATCTCTTTACATCTTTCTTTATCCCCCCTTTGCCTACCTCCAAACTTACTGCTATCCCCCTTTCCCTCTGGCTGTCACCACACTATGGTCTGTGTATGTATGTATATATATTTCTCTGCTTAATATCTTTACCTTTTTTCAACCAACCCCCCAAACATTCATTTGATCTACTACAGCAGTGAGATACAGGCAAGGATAAAATAGACATATGCATACTTTATAGCTATTTGTGGCAGCACACTACCAAATGCTTTTTGTATCTAGCACTGATGACTGTATTCTCAGTAGAATAAAACAACGTGAGCATATGACTATCTATTTTATGTGATAATTAAGTAACCCCCAAGATTTTCTGTGATAGGGTTTCCACTTAATTTAAAATAATGTCCTGGGGCTTGGCTCTTTGCTGTCAGTAAATCTCAAAGAAGGAACATAAATCTGATGCCACTGAACTACAATTTTGTGATGT